GAGCTTGGGTGGAGCTGGCTGCCAGCAGCTGCAGCAGGAGCAGAAGACAACAGATTCCATGGAGCAGAAGTGCTGCAAAAGCCGGCAGGTCCTGCCAATCCTCATGCTGGCCTTCACACATGTGATCTTCCAGAGCAAAACGACAGATACAGGCAATGGACAGAGGATATTTTAACAGTTTTGGAGAGAATCGGACTACACTGTGTTACAAGGCTGTATGGGAACACTGCCCTCGCTCTAGGGATGTGGGAGAATTAGGAAATATCTGTTATAAAGCTTTCGAGAGCTTTTTAATATATGACCACTTTGCTCTCCATGAGCTGGAGGGCAGCCAGACTTTATACTCACACCAGGGGTCTGTTTCAACAGCTCCTCTTGGTAAGCACAAGTCTCCAGGCTGCCAAGGGCTCACAAGAATCACTGTTCATGAAGCCAACGCAGTTACAGACTCCACTGAAAACTTCAATTTCCTTTTCTTTTTCTTTTAAGCAATTCTTGCAAGTCCTTAAAACACATGGGAAATTAAATAAATAAATCCCCTGACACCCAAATTTAGAGAGGAAAAGGGGAACACAGCCAACTTGACCAAGATCTTAGTTTACAGAATGTATTTTAAGGACTGGCAAAGAGTCAACCATATGGCTGCAAAGCTATATGGAGGTTAGATCTAATGTATAATAAACTTGACAGTGTTTCACTAGCCAAGTAGGGTGTTATTTTTCCAAACTTGGCTGTTTTGAAAGAAGAAAAGACTAATCTATCTTTTCAAATTTATCATCAACATGTGTGACCAGCTCCTATGCGCCTCCTTAAACATAGCCCAGTTATGGTCAAGGGCTTGTGCAATAACACACTGAACATGTTACAAGGCTTCCCTATCCTCCTGCAAACACGTCAACTTGAGATACTTCTTTTACCTGCAATTAAGAGCTAGGCTTTCACTGTTTAAAGTCCAGCTGGGTAGTGGATTGCAGTAGGCATCACTACAAATCCCAAGATCTAGGCACGCGCTGGCGATGAGGAAACCCTGTGTGCCAGAGCTTTGCTCAGGCTCCTCCGAGCTGAAAGGCAGTGGCCAGATCCAGCTCCTGTGGGAGGAAGCACCTCGAGGGCACGGGCAGCAAACACAGAGCGGGTCATGCTGGCAAATGCAGGGGCTCAAGGTGGCAGCAGCTCTGTCCTCAACTGTAACACTGATAAAACACGATTCACAAAAGGAAAAACAGCCTCGAGCCTCCGTGTTTAGGGAGACTGAGACGTTATTGTGCCTGTCTGGCCTCCAAAGCCAGGGGGAACCCGGCACCTCGGCTGCAGGGATGAGCTGCTGCACTGCAGCTCCAAGGGGATGAGGTGCTGGAGAGCTGCTGGGCACTGCACAGCACCAAGTCCATTTCCTCCATTTCCTGAATTTTAATTCAACTTTTTATTGCATTATTTATTACTCCAAATTTATGATACTTAATAATTAATAGAGACTAATATAATTACTAAAATAATCAATAATTGATAGACTATATTACTTATTCTGAATTTTTACTCAGCTGGGAGCAAAGGACTCTCTAGAGCAATGAGAGCAAGACAGAAAATGCAGCGCAGGCTGCGTTTCGCTAGGGAGATACCACTGCCTTTGAACACAGTCACTTTTCTTCCCTGGCCGGACACTTCCTTGCACACAGCAGGACTGCACGACCCTGCATCTCAAAATATTGCTTGCAAGTTCATCATGCCAATTCTGAGCACTGTTTCGTCCATGCGCCAGGCCCCTGTACCATCCTGGGAACAGACTGTTGTGAAAACCTGGAGAACAGCTTTGGGAAAGACAACAACGTGATGGGCTTTAAGCAATCTTACCCATGTGGGTCCTCTCACACCCTATATTGCGGCACTTACCCTTCAAGCCACATTCCTGTCCCACATGGTGCCACACAGATCCAGGTCAGGATAGGGCCCTTTGCATTGAGTTTGTCAAGGAGACGGTGCCTGCATGGGCGTTAAGGAGCGCCCCACATCTGCTGCTGGGGCACAGGCTGCTCCTTCTTAACATGCTGGGATTTGCTCACCCCAGGAATAAAGCAGAGAAAGAAAAGAGGAGAAAATAAAGAAAAAAGGAAAGAAAGAAAAGAAAGCAGGAGAGGCAGGCCGAAGCTCCCCGAGCTGGATTAACAACTGAGAAGTGCCAGGGGACATTCCTCATCTCGTTAGCGAGCACCAGGCAGTTGCTTCACCAGAGCAAGGAATCTGTTTGCATTGGGAGGCCGATACTCCCCTTCCTGCAGGCAGTGCCTCCTTGCCCTGCAGCACAACGGAGCGTCTGCGCGGATCCATCCGAGCTGCCTGGGTGCCTCCCTGCCGGGATCCACGAGCTTCAGCACGAGAACGGGAATCTAGAGGGAGATGGAGCTTTCCCAAGGGGATGACAATATTCGAAAACAACCTAATTTGCAGGCTAAAACCCACTTCTGCTGTAAGGCAGAAGGGTTAAGTCTCACTCACGGTTCCACCCTCACAACTGACTCAGCTTTCCATTTCTCTATATTTCTCTAGTAAATTAATTGCTTAATGACTACTGGTTATTAGTAAGTTGCAAGGATCTGGATGGAGCACCGCAGAGGGGCTCTTGCAGGCTTGCTGACAAGCTAACCCTCCCACCCCAGGCAAAGGGCTCCGGCCCTGCCGTGCCAGGCGCTGCAGAGCTCCCGGCTGAGGGCAGCACAATGTAATAGAGGAAACTTCTTGAGGGGAGACCAAGGCCACCTCTAAACTCCCACAAGTTTGCTAGGGTAATTTAGACAGGTATCTAAATGCCTTGTCCTCCTCACAAGATTAGCAACTAGGGAACAAAGCCTGTAAAACTTGACATTAAGGGCAGTTTAACACAAAGCAGCCAGACAGGAACAGGGTGGAGGCGGCAGGGACATGGCTTCTCCTCTCCCTTTTGCACCAGAGTCATAAAAACGTCAGGAGAAGAGCAGAGAGGCCAGCTGGAGGCCTGTAACTTCTGCAACTGCCTTTTCCGAGTCGTCAGATCCACACAGAAAACCTCCTGAGGGTGCCACGATCCAGTCACGAAGAGGAGCGGGAGGGGGATGCTGGCACACACAGACTGCCTGCTTTTATTGCCTGCTTAATTCCTCCACAGGGATCCTCCTCTCAGCATTAAAGCCCATTCCCAGCCCTGCGCCTTCCCTAGAAACCAGATGACAGGAGCTCTCTCCCTCTCTGCTTCAGGCATTCCCGCTTCCAGAAACAGGGAAGCGGCACTTTCTGTGTTACTAGCAATTAGAGCACACACCTAGCAAGTGACAGCGGGGAGAAAAAAGCAGCGGCCTTTGTTCCAGCCTCCTCCAGCTCCCGAAGCTCCGAGGGAAATACATGGACGCTGCAGCCTGCTGATGGCAGCACCTAGCGCGCGCCGGGCGCTTCACGTATCAGCACTTCACGTATCATCAGCACTTCATTTCAATAATATGAAGTTATGTGGTTTGAATAATATTTATCTGGGCCAGATGCGGCTCTCTCTCCTCACCGTCTGGATGACGCACATGTATATGATGAGTGAGGGTGTTTTCTCTCTTGTATACCTTTTTGTTCTTATATGTACACAAGAATAATTACGCTCGCATCCAAATGTTTTGATATGGAACTAGTATTTATTTCAATAGCAGATTAGGTTTGGACAGCAGTGGTATTTTTTGCATTCCATGACTAAAACCAGTCCCATTTTCCAATGGGAAAATTATTTGCTTTTTCTTACTAGTGAAACTTATCCAGCATTCCCAGAAAGGATCTCTAGAAGTTGCCAAGACCCTTTACTTAAAAAGGCAAATATGCCAACTGGAGATTTGCTTCATTAATCTTAACCAGTGAGGCCTTCAAGCATTTTTATAACATAAACATTTTGTAAAATGGCACCCATTGCCTTGATGCTTCCAGACACCAATTCCCATACAAATGACAGCTACAACTTTGCCTTTAACTACTCTCATCTAAGGCTTCTGATCCATCCTTAACTTGGCAGAGTTTGGATACTGCATGAGAATCCTCTAAATATGAAACATAAGGTAGAAAAACTCACAGCTAGCGAAAGACTTCGGCCCATACACTACACTGCAGCTAACAGTAAATGACTGTTTTCCAAGAAAAGGCGGTGAATGAGTGATCTTCATACACTGCTTGAACCATGAGTAATGAAAGCGCCAGCTGCCCAAGTTGGATGTTAACAGGGAAACGGCAGAGACACGAGGCACAGCCAGAGCAAAGGTCACAAACGCAGCCGCTGTCGCACCCAAGGTTTGTGACATGGCACAAGGGCTCCTGCAAACCCAGTCAGCAGGGGACCAAGCTTGCACACAAAACTGGGGCTACCACATCCTGAAGTAACTTTAAAATACACGGCACCACCTTAACCGTTTTCAGAAAACAGAAAAGGCTTTTTAGCCAGAGAGAAGAGATGGAAACTAGTTTAATTTCTATCCTGATTACTATTTTATTCACTTCAGTACTTTACTACTTCACTGGCTTAAATTAAGCCAGGAAATCAGAGGAACGGGAACCAAGTTCACAGTATAGGACCTACAGCATTTACAGCCTTTCTTGCTCTTCAGCTAAGTTTGACTTGAGATCAGTAAAGAGATGCTCTCCTTGAACACTTACTCTGAAGTGTGCAAGAAGAATGTGTCACTCCAACAGAGCCCATCTGCAAGGCCTCAACTCAGATTTCCAACAGCTCTAAAGCTTAAGTATATTTGAAACTTATTCTAGCCTGGTGAGCAGGCCAGGGGGCTGTGGAAACAGGAGCAGGAAACCATCATCACCTTTGTCCATTTGCTTAAAGCATCAGGGTTTAAACGGAGGAGGAAATTATGGCAAGATTTTGAGGATTTTGTATCATTTGGAAGTTAGATTGAGCTCATATCTAGTTTGCAGAACTGCCGGGGTGACAGAAGCAGCAATAACAAGGCAATGCACAACAAGAAGTCCCAAGGGACACCGAATCTTACCTTGTGCACACAAGACTTTGCATTCAGAAAGAACAGCTCTACCGTTGTTTTGTCCTTGAGAAAGGAAATGCTTTCAATGTAGAACCTGGAAAAGCAAAAAAAAACAATGTTACTTTCTTGAACACATTTCATCTTCCTCCCAAATCATTCTGATTTCCTCAACATTTTGTTCCCTAGTGATACAAATGGTACAGAGGAACTATGAGTTACAGCACTTAATTTCCTGCTTATTAGGAGGGAACAAGCAGAAAATCCTGGGCCAACAGCACACAGGGGAAGACAAACTCCTTGTTCAGTAGAGCATTGATGCTTGACGACTCTCCATCTCTCGAAACCCTGCAAAATTTCGAAGGAGCAAAACCCATCACTCCTAGGCGGACAAGAAAACACAGGATTGGGAAAGGCAACTGAAAAGGGCGAGTTGGGTCTCAGCAGAACCGCCCCGGAGCACTGCCCAGGCAGAACCTGCCCGTGAGCTGCGGCAGCCCCCTCGGGCAGGTGGTGATGAGCAGGTCTGACCAACATCTGCTGGGGTCACATTGGTAGCCTGATTCTGCCTCTACGCGAGGAGAAAGGGTAGATCTAACACCCCCCTGGACACTCGTTTTAGCTTTTTAACTCATAGAGGTTTATTTAGCCTTAATGGCAAGGCACTGGCAGGGGGCCGTGCCTCCAAGCTCCAGTCCTCTCTGAAGAGAAATTCAAGGCACCTGGGAAGGCAGCAGCATTACCCAGGGATGTTCTGAGGAGAAATCTGGAGCCACCACCTGCTCCATACCTGCAAGCCCTGAGCTTGCCACCACATTCCAAATCAGCAGCTAATCCCACTGCAACCTACTAGTCTAAGACATTCCAGGCAAAACTTGCTACCAGAAGAATAAGTCTACAGGACAGCACAAATAGGTGACGTGTTGCAAAGGCACTGCCAACTACATTAATTCAACTGCTGGCTACTTTAGCCTAGCCAAGGTTAGCAGATGGGCCCCAGTTTGTTATGAGCCTGTCTAAAGGACCATGAGCACAGCTGGCACTCTGCAAACCCCACACAACTTGTCTGTGCTTCTCAACAACTCGCTTGAGGCATTAAACTAAGCACAGAGATAGAGTAAAAGGTGCAGGGAAAACACGTCTCTAATTTGTGAAACAGGGAACTGCCAAGTGAGTTTAAAGAGACAAATTTGTGTGAACAGGGTCCTGTCAGTGCTCCTTTAGGTGTATAAAGGCAGGATTCATTTTCAACAGCCAGCTCCTTAAGGCTGACAAATGTTGGATCCAGACTTTCCCACCCAGTGCCAGAAAGGAAGGAATATCCTCTCTTCCTGAGCCAAGTGAAAACGAGGGACAACCACCAGCCTGGCAGCAGGGACCAAACCAGGGCTGCTCCCCTGCTCACCTTTGAGAGCAGGAGGGTTGGATGGAGCACGGAGGCCCTGAGCCCTCCCACAGCCCCAGCGCCCCTGCAGCAGCCACGGGGCTCTCGGGATAGGTGATTTCCAAGACATGGGAAAGAGGCCGGAGCACGTGGTTGGAGGCAGCAGAGCCAACGTCTGCTGCACCTGCCAGGCGCTTACACAATATTTATGCTGCAGCTTGAGACAAACATACATTAAATAGTAATTGCTTTAATATTTCACATTCCTGCAGCACATGGCAACAAATTAATTTTAAAGCACTGCACAGAATGCCTCTGCAGGACAGGGAGACAATGATTTATCCCATTTTATAGGTATGCAGCCTGGCCCAGGAGGAGACCCAAGCCCAGCATCCTGCCGAGGGCTCTGCACGGCTGGTTTGTGTTTGTTTCCATGACTCACCTTTCCGAGCGAGGAGAGCTGCAGGAGCCATGCGCATTTCCATCCCCCTTGGATCATATCAAATATCATCTTTTCAACGGCTCTGCTAACCTCCACTTTACAGATGCTATAATGTTTCTCTCCAGAAGTGCAGAGCTTCAGCAGTTAACACTGAGCATCTGAGGTGTCCGCTGGCCTCAGTGGAGCCGCCTTGTGCTCAAGAACCTTCCCCCATTAATTCTCGAGTAAGAAGAGAGAGTTTCACAGATGCTCAAGTGGCAAAGGCACCATTTTTCTAACCTCAAACTACCATAAACTGCTGAGGTGACTCAGTGCAGCCATCAGGTAGAAGTGCTATGGCAGGATAACTAGAGCACTCAGGCCCCCAAACCTCATCCGAAGCACGCTCATCCAAGAAACCAGAGAAATAAATAAGTGGATATCACCAAATGGAGACGTGCTGTGCTATTTCTGACAGACAACAGCCCTCGCTGCCTCCCACACAGAAGCAATGCCTCTGATAACATGGGAGAGGACATCAGGGAGGCATTGCCCTCCCCCAGCCAGGTCAATGGGTTTTAGTTCTTTGGTGGTACAAGTTGCACAGCTTTATCACCATGGTACAGACAGGCAACACTGGACCGCAGAGATAAGCATGTTCCGAGGACGGCAGGCATGGTTGGCAGCAGTGTAAAGCACATGGTGTGTTTTATTCCTGGTGCTGTCATCATCTTAAACTGGAATGATGCTTTTGGAAGTCCAAAACCAGCATCAGCCAGCCCTTCACCAGCTGCATGTACCACAAAAACTCATGTAACAGGACTAATTTTACACCAGCTGAAGAAAAGCAACTGACACCTGTAAGAATTTCTCCTGTGCTTCATTACTGAGCTATGAACCACAGAGGGGCATAAGGAGGTGCCTGGGGATTTCCAGTACTTCCGATGGAAAGTGGTCATTACAGTACGGAAAAGTGCTGAGAACTGAGGCTCTGCTGTGTTTGCCACTGCCTATGAAGACGGTGGCTTCTCATCCCTTCTTGCTACTCTTGTATCTGAGATGAAAACTGTGAAACAGTATTTGCCCTAAACAGTTGCATCTATTTCAAATAACACATTAATGAAGGAAAAAGTTTTGAAGTATATAAACCATGTACATGTTTTCTGCTTTCTCAGCAAGAGTCACTTGCTTTCAAGCAACGAAGCGACAGCACAAGTAACTTTTTCCTCTAAACTTCAAGTTCCAACTCCCTTGAAGTAAAAAGAAACAAAGAGGGTTTTCTGTATAGAAATAGCCCAAACTGCATATTTTTAATTAAAAAAAGAATTATTTCAGTGACACCAATGACTAAATTCAGTTATTTTTTTTTTTTTTTTGAAGAATCACTTTCCTTGAAATTTTGTTGCAGAAAATATAGTCGAAGATGGTTTTATAAATAGGGTCAATACTTGGTATTAAATTGGTGCTTTTCATTTTCAAAATGCTGTGCACTCACTCTAAAAAGGCATTAAGCATCCTGCAAATAGCAGGAGTTAAGTAATCCTGACACAGGAGACCCATCCAAAGAGCTAGACTGAGGCCAAATTAACATTTGTTTGCCAAAAGTTCATTAACCTACAACTCCCAGCCAGAGGAATATTAAGCTCAAATTCTGCTATTACATTCACTTTCCTTCTTGGAATATTCCATTCAGCTCCATGACCTTGTTTCACATACCTAGCCGGGTGGAGTCAAGACCAGATGAGTCAATGCACAGCAGAACTGCTAAATCAGACATTTGCTGGAGAAAGAACTATGAACACTGATGACTACACCTATATTCAAGGGCAAGGGCCTTCCATGCAATGGCACAGTAAAGGCTAGAGCATGAAGCTGCTTTCTAGGCAGCAAGGCCAATTGTGGGTGCTGCAGATGGAGGCTCAGAAGGGCTGTCATGCCCCTTTCTCTGGTGCTGCCCATCGCTGAAGGGCACCACAGCTCCCGGGACAAGTGGGGGGCCACCCTGCAGCATCATCTGCCACTGCCACTTTATCTTCAAGGCTGGAGACTTCCCACCCAGGGGACTTCAAGCTGCCTCCTGCCCATCTTCTCCCCCCGCCTGGTGGCCACGGAGGTGCTGCCTCCACCGAGGAAGCAGTGACCTTCATCCCTTCCCTACTCTTCCACCTGGGCTCGGGGCACCAAGTGGTGCTCTGCACATTTCAGCTGATCACCTGAGAGTCTAATTAAACAAATAGACTATAACAGGGCCCATGTGTTTGCAAGAGATAAGTGTCTTCACCCAAGGCACATGCTGAGGAAGAAAGGCTTGGAGTCACTTACTTGTCCAAGAGCTCGTGACAAAAGAGAAAGCTGCTGATTTTGAAGAGGCATTTCTGCAGCAATATCCATTTCCTACGGATCAGATAGCTTTTCACTGCTAATTATTTCTACTTCCTCCTGCTTTTGCCCTGCACAGGCTTCTAACTCTCTGCCCACTTGCTTGGCTCCTAATTGCTTGTTTTGGATCCCAAGACCCTGGGGTAGTCAGCCTTAAAATTAACTTCTAGAAGCAGATTTTTTTTTCCAAGCCCACTCTTTAGACATTAACTCTTGCTCTGCTCTCTGCATGCCCTGTGTTGGAAAGGACTATTTCGCATACAAAAGTAGTGAAAGCCAAAATCATGACCCAGCATCACTGGGCCCAACCAAACAACAGCTCAAGTCCAGCTGCCTTTGCAGCTTTCTTAGGGTCTTTGCTCTTGAGATGGTCTTGGCAACAGTTTAACCCCTGGCAAAAGCCACTGCAGTCAAGGCCAGTGTTATCTGGGGGAAGATCCTCAGAAGGAGCAGAGTTCTTCAGCCTTCCCACATTGTCACTGCACGTAAGGAGGGGACAGTCTCACAGCGAGAACATGGCAGAAAGCAGTAGGTAGAACACACAAAGGGCCCATATCCAGTTTCATTTCTAGTTAACACATGAATACTGGATTTTTTAGTGCATTTTTTCCTTCTGTGGGAAGGAGTAGGAGGGAGAAAGAAGCTCCGAGCTCCATCACAAACAAAGGGGAATTCAGCAAACAGCAAGTGCTGTTTTTTGGAAGCATTCCCTTATGATTAGGGTGCAGAGGACGTGGCAAGGTGCTGGTGCCAAACTACCAAACTACATCAAAGGCTCTGCTTTGGAGGTGCTTAAACACACAATGCATAGATTTATCCAGCTATGAAAAGGGAATGAGGTCAGTTTGCTCTCCTTTTCCTGATAGACTCTAAAGAAAACAAGCTCCATCAATAAGAATACCACACTTATTCTTTTTTATTTTGCCAGCACAGCTCTGCCAGGTAAGGGCCTGCAAAATTATCCTAACCAAGAGAACTTTGACAGCAAAACCCCCAAGGTAACACAATGACAAAAATCAGCACTTTGCCAGAGAGATTTTTCTCTTGGGGAATGATTTAAGCCATGTGAGCAGAGAATCTATCAGCAATCCTGCCTGAGCACAGACTAACCTTAAGTAAACTTGGAAACAAGAAAAAGTAAGTATAACTGTTTAAACAAACTCTAATTCAATACTTTTAAAGAAAATTCAAGCAAACAAGACAAAGTAGCTTTTAAATAAAGTAAAAAAATAATAGCAGCAATGCTCTAATAATTTTTAGAAAGTAGCAACTTCTAAGCTATGTTTTTTCATATTCATAAATACAGAAGAGAACAGCACTTATCCAGGACTTAATCACCTTCTAAAAATAACTTACTGCTTTGACTTATTTTCTTTATCAAATCAGTAATCAGTTACTTTAAACAAAAAGTTGTGGTGATAAATAACCCAAACTGGCAAAGTTTTCTCTGTGGAAACAATTACTCACCTAACTGCAAAGAACAAAGTAGCCGGACCTGGTTTCTTGGGCAAGTCATGATCCAAGACTCTGTGGTCCAGCTGCAGCCAGACACTCTGACCTCTGCAGGAACAAATTGGGGAGTCTATTAAGAAATGGGAAGAGGAAACACACAGACATTTTTCTTTTCTAGTGCTTGTGTTTACTCCTAGTGCTGCTTTAAAAAAGTACAGATCTCATTTCTGACAGAGGCAGGCAAACTTGTGATCAAATGTTTCCTCTTGCCCTAAATTTTGCATTTTGACACAATTCATTCTTAGATGGGCTTTGTAGATGTGTTTTCAGCTTCTGCACAGAACTTAAAGGATGGAGCTCAGAAAAAATAAAGAATATTGAAAGGCCTTCCTTGACTATAAACAGGGGCACTTCCATCCACTTCCAAGCAGCCACCCCAACTTGTTGCAAGCAAGGAACAAAGGCTGGAAGTTTGTACCTCAAAGACTGATCTGATGCTCCCTTCTGTCCACATCAGACTGTGCAGCTTTCTGCTGTCACATCCTAGACTGTCATGTTCTTAGTAACTATCAGGTCCTACTTAAAGCCAGACACTGCAGGGGGCCTGGCTGCAGGCAAACCCATCCAGCGAGGCAGGTGTATCCAGCACAGCTCCCTCGGCAGAGTCCAAAGGAAAAGAGGAATCTCCCAAGTCCCTCCCTTTGGGTCCTGGGGTGGTAGGGGACACTGGCAGCTCTGGGAGAGGCCGAGCCAAGATTGGCAGCCCATGGAGCATGGGTGCCCTCCAGAGGCAGCAGGGTGGCACCAGGGCCATCCCCAGCCCAGGCACCCATGGGTGCTTCCGAGGCCCCCAGGATTTTGGGAAGCCCTGGCAGCACCCTGAGGAAGCTCAGGGAGAAGGGGCAACAACGATCAGAAAGGTCCAGAAGAATTTCATGGCAGTTCTTCTGGAGAAGAAAAAGCCAAGTGTAAATAGCAACCTTAAGGATTAATTTGTTGATAAAAATGCTTTTATCCAGGTTTTCTAAGAGCAGAGAACAAGGATATGGAAAATATATGCTAAGAGGAGAATAGCCTAAAAGTAACACACTATTCCAGGAGGGCTCTAGAGACAAGTGGCTCCTAACACCACTGCAAAAACCAGCGAGGGGCTTCTGCACCAACGCTCCTCTCCAGCAGGCAATAAGTGCACTGCAGGGTGACCTGAACCACGCTCTGAGGGGACTTGCATCCAAAGACAGCATAAAAAGGGGCAAATTTATAGCACCAGCCTAATGCTAAGGAGTTCTGCTCCGGTGGTCTGGGGGAGCTGCAGAGTCAGACCTCTCACAGGGCGAAGCATCTGAGTGCCAAGCCAGGCACATCGGGCAAAGCAACAGCCAAGATCGTGATTAACCCTGGCCATGTCGTAACTCGATGGGTAACAACCTCCTCAGCTGCTCCACCTGCAGCAGCAGTGACATGGCAATTGGAAAGGGAGGGTTGTGCTTTTAAAACTGGGTGCTGCTTTTACAGCTCTTTTGGGTAGTCTGCAAAAGAGCCTGGAAAGTAATGGAGAAGCTACAGGAAACCTGTTTAAGGGGTTGTCTAACTTCTTGCTTTGCTGTTGTTAAGGAAGTTAGTATTTAAAAGGTTCATCAATAATGGATTTGAGACTAATGGGCAAAGTGATTCATTTCAAAAATTTATGCAAATCCTCTTTTTGTTGTTATTAAAAGCACAGACTAGGAAAGCTGGGGGCATTTGCTTGGAAAATAGTTGCTATTTTTTTTTTTAAACCTTGCGAGACAAACACAAACAAACAGAAGAAGCTCCAGGAAGATATACTAGAAATATTTTCTGATCTGTTTTGTGCCTTTGCCTTTCCTCAACCAAACAACCATCTTTTAAGATAAGTCTTATTTGCATTACACTGAGCTGTCAGTGTCTGGGAGAGTTTCACACTGCAATAATCTTACAGCTGTTTAAAATCAATCAACATACTCACGTGTCATCTATAAATGTTATTCCAAAATACTCCTTTTCTTTCAGGTTAAAATGTGAGGCCACCAGATCCAGTAACTCTCGAGACAAAAGCTTGGGCTATTGAAAGAATCAGAATAATTTAAATCATTTCAGTGTAGTTTTTATAATAAAAGTTCCTGTTGAAAACACCGATATCAAAGTGATTATAGTCAAGCAGGTAAAAGCCTTGTTGTGTGATACTCCAGTGGTTGCATAGAGCATGGGGCACAGAGTGGCAACCAGGCAGGTTTTGAAGATCTCCAGAGAAGGAGACTCCACAAACTCTCTGGCAGCCTGTTCAGGGTTTCTACAGCTTACAACAAGAGGGATTTCTCAGCTGAGAGAATACTGCATCCTAGACAAACTAATGCATGTAGAAGTCTGTGGGACTTCAGAGTTCAGACTTTGCCCTTCAATAAATGGGACTCATGTGCTGCTTAAAACTTCATCTATGGCCATAGCTCTACTGACTGGTCCTAATCCCTAGAAGGGACACAGTTATGAGCAGCATTGGCCAGAACTGGTTGAAAACCAGCCTGCCCTGCACCAAACCCCACTCCTCATCCCTGAAAGAGCAGCCTTTACCTGGACCAGCAGTTCCAACGTCCTGTCATCGAGGAGCTGAACCTGGCAGTGCCTGCCCTCGGTCATCTGAAAAGAGAGGGACAGCAGCGTGAAGACAGGGAACAGGGAAGATCAGCCTGTGCTGCTTTAAAGTTTTAAGCAGCTCTTGTTTGCACAGGACCACGTGTGGCTCAGCAGCAAGGACAGCAGCGGCGAGTGTTTAATCTGCCCCGATAACCGCATCGACTCCGCACAAAAGCCAACGTCCTTCTCCAAGGACTTGGCACAGGGAGCTGCTTCAGTGCTCCACTCCCAGCGGCTTCAGCCTGTAATTAAGGGTGCTTAGCAGCTCTCGGATCAGATACAAGCGACATCAATGCTATTGGAGAGCTACAGTTTGAGCTGGAGTTTAATTGGAGGATAAACCAGTCTTGCTAGTACTATTAGTCCTAAGTGGCAGCACTCGCCTTTCATTCCAGTGTTGCGCAGAGACAAGAAGGACCTAAGAAGTTGCCATTTCCATCTCCCCAACCATTCCTGCAGACAAGTCAGCCTAATGTCTGGGCTGCTGACAGGTCCTGATCTTCTAGGCTGGGTCTCTACTGGCACATTAGATAACTTCTCACAAGTATTAGAAGTCGCTTTCTTGATAGGATTTTTATATATGTGTCTGCACACACCAAGACGGATGCTTGAAGTGAGTGATTAGAAAGAGGATGAGATTTGCAGCTTCCGATACAGCTGGACTGCCTTGGTTCTATTTCATGCCACATCCATCTACTGAGGCCGATTTATCTTCCCCTCTGCAAGAGCAGGACAACTCAGAAATAGCTGCACATTATATCCTTCAGTATCTGCCCTGTGGAACATAATACATTTCCATGAAAGCTTTTGTATTATTTAAAATCTGCTCCAACCCTGGGTTCCGTGCTGGCTTTGGCAGAGGGCTGGCTCTGCAGCTCTGCGAAGGCAAGAGGTGCTCGAGGAGACCGGGCTCTCGTACCCATCCTGCCAGGCTGGCAGTAACTCTCTCCCCGATAGCACAAGCACCTCGTGAACCCTGAGTGCTGAACGGCAGCAAAGGGGGCTTAGATGGGGGCTCCCCAAGGAGCTGGGCAGCACCGAGCGCTTTCCCATCTCCGTGACAGTAGCAAGGACAGGGCCCTGCTCTACTGCAGCTGGTGGAGCAACAGCCAGGGGAGCATCCAGCCCCAAAAAACTTCCCTGCCCCTGGAATATGGGCAGACACCTCCCGGCATCGCCCCAGCGGCAGCGCTGTGGTCCCCAGTGCCAGGGCGCTGCCTATTCTGGCTCTGACACTGCCACCACTCCTGTCTGCTCCAATAGCCTCTTCAAATCATTCTCCATCTGTTGCTCTGAGATAGCACCAGGGCTGCCGTTATTTCATTGCGAGATGCTTTAGCTTTCACCCAGCAAAAGCACATCAATCACATCTTGCTTAATTGCCACACTTGTCTATTGTGGAGTAAAAGAGATTTCTATTATAAAAAAAGAAAACAGCACACACGCACACACCACATTTTGCTAAGGCGAAAGAAGGGTTGCAGGGAAGATTAAAATGTAAAAGAAATACCAGCCACAATGTGTGCTTCTATTGAGCTATCCAAGGTAATCTGCAAATGTTTTACAGGTGAAGTACTTAAACCTCACGCCACCCATGAAGGCAGGGAAGGTGCAGCTATCCCCGATTTTATAGATAAGGACATTTCAGGGCAGTGGCTCCGGCTCTGCCCTGAGTACTCCAGCTGCAGAACCTCGTGCTCACTGTGGGGCTGCTCTGAAACCAAAGCAGGGCTTGTGCTGCTGAGCTCATCGCAATAGCCTGCACGGCACACGAGAAAACAGTCCTCATTTTCCTCCAGGAATGAATTAAAAATAGTAAAAAAAAACCAAAAAACCTTAAACTAACACAACTGCCAGCATTAACCTTTGCACCAGCATCTTTCTGCAGATAACGTTTCCCCGCGTGGTCTCACCTGCGTCCCTGAAGGCAGAGGGGACGGTGCCGCCGCACCGGGTGCCCAGCTCTGCAGCAGGGGGTTCGAGACCCAAACCAGAACGGGGCCACCCGGGCCAGCCCGGCCTGGTCTGCCGTGCAGCCACCTGCCAAGCGCTGCTCCCGCCCATGAAACCGCCAGGATTTGGCTGTGCAGCCTCAAAAACGCCGGGCTCCTTGTCCAAGGGCTGCGCCGCAGGAGCCCCGGCGGATGCATTTTCATCCTTAGCTGCGTAGGGCTCACTAATGCAGACAATATCATTGATTTTCTATTTAGCTGAAACAATCAATCACAAGAGGAGCACAGCTGTCTGGCTCAGCTATGAGGTAAGTAATACAAGCAGCCTTGATATATAAATATATATGTACAGACCATCCATGTTTTCAGCTCATTCTCATTGATTTTGCATTCTCTGTGCAAATGAACAATTTAGTTGTATTTTTGCAACGTGAACTCATTGCTAGCCTTTTTAGCAGTTATTTTTTTAAAAGCCTAATAATATTTAGCTAAAGCAACAGCATAAAATTCATTAAATACTCTCATCTCATTCTGCATAGGAAATGAGTGGAGCAACATAACGCAGAGCCTAATTTTTTTGGCTAAGCCGTAGCAAGATGCTGCATTCTCATGGTTCCTAAGTCATCTGTATGCTCTACGCACAAGTAACCAGCATAAACCAGCCTTATGCAATGAGAAAATATAGAGAGGAATGAAAAGCAGAGGAATGAAAAGCAGGGAACAGCATCCCATGCACTGTGCTGATGTTACTGCGGCTCCGCAGGCCTCCCGACGCACAGGGAAAGGAGGGAGCTTCCAACAAGGAGGGGATTTGTGGGGCTTGTCCACAGGAGAGGAACAGAGGGAAGAAGGAACACAGTTCCTGCAGAAAGCAAGTGTGTGAAAACTAAAGTATAAAGTGAGTTTCTCATTCTTACAGCA